CGCCCAGTTCACATACCTCCCCGGTTTTTTTAACAGGAGTAGAGGTTTATATCTTGTTTCCTCTTTAGGATTGGGTTTCCGGTTCCTTCTAATGTCTACATCAAGTCTATACTTCTAACGTGTCCGACTGAACTCTGAAATGTTATTCACTAATTAAATCTTCAAATTTAGAGTTAGTCCTTATCTTTCCTACATATCCTCAAGATCTTCATTTTTTTTACCCTTTCTTAAGCTCATGCGACATCAAACAATAACTCTCTGCCTTGAGTGTCTTTTGACTCTTCTCTTGATTGATCATTTTTAAAAAAAAAACAAAAATTCCAACAAAGTCAATAAGTGAGTACATTTCATGGGGAAACATTGTATTTTCAAATAATCAGCAAATATTTTTTATAAAAAAAAATTAACTCTTGGATTATTTAGCGTCAAAATGTACTTCTAAAGTTCTACAATTTTTTATCGCATATTTGCTTCAAAAAAAATAGTGGACCGTAGAAAGGTTCAGTGGAAAAGATTTCGTTAGTTTCTTTTACTCCTTGTCAATCTTTATTGGCTGTTTGACAGAGAAGCCGTAATGTTTCTGATTTATTCGAAATGACATCAGAATTTAATTTATATTCTACAGTAAACATCCCATGTTCTTATATGCTTAATCCAATAGAGAATGCTTTTAATAAAATCAAATTAGCAGAAAGCTCTGAATTAAGAATTGAAAATGATAGGAATAGTCCATATATAATTTTAAATCATTTACAGACTTGGTTGAACCGCTATGCGTATTTCGCTATTCTTTACTTTTATGTGACGTGACTCTTCAGTACGTTGGCAATCATGGCTCTTCACAACTTAGTAAGTTTTATCTTTTTGTTATCTCCCCCGATTACTGTCCTGTCCCCCATTTAAAGAATATGGTTAGTTAGAGGACTCTCTGTTTGACTCTGTCTTTCCTGATTCCAGTATGTCTTACGTATGTCGAATTTTCCAGGGCCCCTCATAATTTGCCAGGACTTCTCCTAATTTGCTAGGATCTCTCTCCTAATTTCACTTGTTTCTTTCTGATTTTAAATACAAGCGTAATTTTAGTTTACATTTTCATTAAAGATTCCTCGTTACTCGCATGTTTACTTCATGTAATTCTCAGCATCCTTCTGTAGAACCATATTTCTGCTGCTGAAATTGACTTCTTTATCTATGAGGAGATTATTTAACATACACTGCCACAGAGGAAACCTTATATCACATAAAATTTAGTACTCTTTTCATTTTTCTTAACAATAAATGTTTCTTAATAATTTGGTTAGATTAGGAAGGCAACTTTCCCGATTCCAATTTCTTCGGATATCTTTGCCATATTTCCCATATTTTCTTAGACTATTTACATCTTTCCCCAGCTATGGGTTAAATAGATCGACAGACGGAATCTAGATAGCTTCTATCGAGGAAAAAAAATAACACTGAATCAAGTTTTTATTTTCTAATTAAAATATTCAAATTTACTAAATTTAAACTTGTTTTGACACATCAACTTTATGAGATATTTTTTGTCATAGTTAACAATGGTCCTTGTCTTGAGGTGAAGTTCTAGATCTTTTCTTCGTTAACTTTGATCTCACAGTGCGTGAATGGTTCCTTGACTCATCTTGTGACTTCATGTCACCGTTGGCGCTTCAGATTCACTATTGATATGTGATGTGAGGTTTGTGTAATGAGAAAGATTTAACATCGAAAATGAACGATTATGTTAAGGAATTATAGCTTCCCTTTCAATAGGAACGCAACTTCTACGATTGGCAGAGATAGTTATCCGAAGAAACATTATTTGGCGAGAAACGTGTCTTCTATCCTTCCAGTTTAGCCAGTTTCTAGCAATTGCGTTTTTACAGCATAAATTCAAGGCATTTGTCTCTGGGAGTTGAAGAATTCAGTGTTAGTGGTGAAGTTTCCCCGATGAACTCTGATGGCAGTCAAAACTAACGGAATATGCTATCAGTAATTGTAATAATAGTCTTTTCTTAATATAAACAAGCATGCAGTGAAACTGTCCAATGAAATTCATAAAAAATTTCTCTTAAAAAAATGTTGCAAGAAAATAGCATTGATTCCCTTTCTACGGCTTATCAAACATTTACCGGGTATTTAAAGCCAGAAAATATTTTTGATTAGAAGATTTTTTTCGATAATAATTTTTTTACAAATCTTACTAATTAATCCATAGCTGGAGGAGAATAGACAGATTCATACCTTTCCCAGGGGTATTTTAGCGTAAGTGAATATAACGAACCCAATTGGATTTGAACTCGACTCTTCCATTAACTTTTCGGAACTATTATCCATTACACCAGCCGCGCATCCAAGCTTACAGGACCTGGTATTCCCAATCTGTCACCTATCTAGATACCGTACTGGCTCGACGTTCTTCGATAGATCGTAAGGCAACAGATGTTTCAAATGTGATGTAACCGCGTGACTTGAGTCCCCAGATGAGGCTTTCCTGAGCATTAGCAAATTTTCCTTTCAATTCTACGGTTACCATTTTTCGGACCGACATGTCCTTATAATGTACAATTCTTAGATCCATAAAAAAAAATAATTCTGGAATCCTCTCCCTTGAGTGGCTCTCGGGTCCTGTATTGTTTGAACAGTAATATAAAATAAAAAAGAACATTTTGAAAGATGCATAAGGATACCTTGCAAAATCTCAGCAAAGATTAAGGCCATTAAAATAAAGAGGCTGAAATATTCAATACTTTCTTTTGTGACAGGAAATCCTGGGGAATTCTTCATACAGTTAAAGAATGATTTGAAGCATCGAAGCGATGTGTTTTTTGGTGTGAATATAATTAACCACCGAGCAGACACCTACGGGTATTCTCTCAAGGACGCACTTTCTTTTGGGCGTCTATTGATGCCTCAGCTCTTCCCAGGGTAACTCGGATATCTGATCCATTATTGAAAACAGTTCGCTCCACTTAACCCGTCTATATTTTTGAGATAAGGTATTATGTACATTGTTTACATTATTCGAACTATTGTCCTCATCCATGTCGCCATATTTCTTACAACGTTTCGGCCGCTGTACGCTCCGTCCTTCTTCAGGTGGTTGAAATGTCGAACTTAACCCTTTATTTCACTCACTGGGGTAGACTGTTCTAGTTCCACGTGGCATGTTTAATGGATGTCAGTAATCAGATATCTCCTGTTAATTTCCCTCTGAAATTCTCCACTGCCTTAGCCGAGTATTGAACTCACACTCTTTGGATCTAACTAATGCCTTTATCCACTGTGCCATGTGTCCTTGTAATGAATATGGCGACAAAGATAAGGACAATAGTCCGAATAATGTAAATAATGTTCATTTAACCCCTCTAATATACGTCTGATCTCCTCTTCTATACCCTTTGTGATGTTACTACTCTATGATATCTAACGAGTATTTGTGACCTATATCATAAATAACGACGCTCTCATTATTGTTCGAAAATGCAAAGAAAAACGATGACATTTCAGTCATTTTGTCACTTACGTGCCACAAGTGATACACGCTAGGGCGATCATTTGTCTATCATGAGTGATGAGAGAGAATATTTTCCTGTAGTAGGTTGCCATTTCTTTCTACTGTAGATTGCTTGCCAACCAAAAGTAAAGAACCCAGTCTATAATGCTATTTAACCCATAGCTGGAGGAAAAGAGATGGATTCATACCTTTTCCCAGGGGTATTTCTGCGTAAGAGAATTTAATGAACTCGACTATAATTCGAACTCGGCTCTCCGATTTCTCACTCAAATCAGTTTACAAACATTAAAATTACTATTTGATGATGATTTATTATTTTTATATAAAAGATTGTTAATGATTTTAATACAAAACCAGTTCACTGTTCACTGACTTTAACCCTAAACCTAATCCTACCCACTAACCCTAAGCTTAACCTTAGCATATTTTAACTGCCAACAGCTGCTAAATATACCATAAAAGAAAATGAACGGTAGATATACTCTAGTAGCAGTTATTTTTTTTTTTTTTTTGTATGACCCAGGGCAGGCCAAAACTGGCGTATTGCTGCAATATCTGGGATGGAGCTTGCCAGTCCCCACTTGCCTGTCTTGAATTCAAAAGTTTCTCCGCGGATTTGGGGGTAAGGAATTATTTTCCATCCTACAAACCCTTTCTCAGTGGCGAGATATTGCGAGCCTCAGACAACTGTGTCCCCAGTTCCATGGCATGTGTTCTGGCGAGCTACATTCATTAGTCACACCAAACCTGACCTTTAAAACTGGGATCGTCCGTATTACGTACACGAATATGAAGGGTCAACATTCCATTTGTATGCATTTAGAAAGAAGTAAGTTCCAATCGAACAGCTTCTTCCCAAGAACTACAGATTTGTGGAACAGACATTCAGGAAAACTCCAGTCATTACAATCATAATCACTTCAAGTCTAGGCTTACACGTCATCTTTTCTGCATAGACCCATAAACTTTTCTTCTGGTCTTTTCTTAAAAACTTAGACCACCATGCAGTAACCCATTTCCTCTAGTGGAACATGGGTCTTGTATTCGGCGAACATAATTCAAAAAAACGAAAGGAAGAAGAAGGGAATCACTGCTAACAATCAGTAAGAAACAGGTGAAATTTCTGGGACACATTATCAAAAAAAGGTGGCTTGAAGAATTTAAATCTCAGCAGTCATATTGAAAACAAAACAAGCAGGATGCAACACCGAGTAACCTACTTGATTCGATTAGGGTTAGGGTTCGACAGAGCAACGGCGACAAATTCCTAAATCGCTGATTCAGCGGAATGAGAGAAAGAATAAAAAGGAAAGGAGGAACTGAAGAAAAATAATGAAATGGAAGGAAAGAATTGTTAAAACAAACCTAGAAAGAACAGTCGGATAGGAATTAGAAAACGAAAAACAACTCCTCGGGAGGTTTCACCTTGATCAAATTGAAAACAGATTTGGCATACCACGCAATTGAATTTGTTTGATTTTGGGTATCAAAGAATAAAAAAGAAGGAAAACAAAAAACAAATAAAGTGTCGATTAATGAAAAGAAAGAATATAGAAGAAAGAGGATCAAAAAACGAAAAAAATGAAATGTATAAAAATACTGGTTTGAATAAAGAAGCTAAAACGAAAAGAAAGGAATATAAAAGGATGAGAAATAAAGAATGAAAGAACATATGCAAGAAAGAGAATGTAGAAATGAAAAGGAGAAAGAAAAGTTAAAGAAACAAGGAATTAAAAAGAAAGGAAACATTGAAGAAATGGGAAGAATGAAAGAAAATGAAGGCAAACATCGAAGAATGGCTATGAAAGAAATAACGAAGAAATATTTTTAAAAATTGGAAAGAAAGCTAAAACGGAAGAAAAAATGAAAAAAGCATACCGAAGAAAGAGAAAGAAAGATGGTGAAGAAAACAAGAAACGCTAAAGAAACAAAAAGTTACAAAGAAAGAAAGAAAGGAAGAAAGTAAAAAGGAAAGAAAGAAGGAAAGAAAGATCGAACGAAAATGAATGTGAAAATATCGAAGAATGGTTAAGAAAGAAAGAAAGAAAGATAGAAAGTGAAGAAAGAAAGAAAGAAAGAAAGTGAAGAAGAAACCAGATCGACCAAGGGAAAAGAAAGATAAGAAAGTAAGTATACAACATATTGAAGAAAGAGAAAGAATCAAAGTGATAAGAAAAATGAGAAAGAAAGAAAGAAAGAAAGAAAGAAAGAAAAAAAAAGAAAGAAAGAAAGAAAGAAAGTGACAAAATTATCGTATAACGTGAGAGTAAGAAAGGAATAATGATAGAATATAAGAGAAAGATGGCCTCTTAGAAATAAAGAAAGACGAAAATAAAAAAAAAGGAGAACAAGCCAAAAAAAGAAAGAGTACCTTGATCGAAGATTTTTTTAAGCATAAGTGAAACAAGCAAATAAAGCAGACATTCTAGCAGCCTTAGGAATTTTAGTATTACTTGACTTGGAGGCCATTGAATAAAATGCCATATTCTGACTCGACTGACATCATTGTTCTCTCGTTGGAGTCCTTGCATTCAAGGAATAAAGTAAAAATAGACGTTGAGAAATAGTTTCTACGCAAAGAAACAAGTAAAATTTTTAATAAAAGCAAATATTTTAACACAAAATGTCTAATGTTTTAACAGGAAATTCGTAATAAGAACACAACGGAGTTAATTGAATTTTGCCTTCTAAATTTGACATATGTTATTTTCTTACCTACAGCGATTTCATTACCATATTAACCATTTTTTAGCTCGAGAAACTAGTTGTTTCTGCAAGAAACACGAAGATTTAAAAGAAAATTGAATTTCAACATTTGTTTCTACTGATTTGAAAATGAAACATTTGTTTTCAAATTAACTTCCTTGTTTTTAAGTTTTCCAAATTTTTGGTAAAAAATAGCTTATATATATATATAAAGTGGGCTTTTCCATCTCATTCTTTTTATGAAACTTTCCGTTTTTTCAATTAATTTAAGCTCATACATTCAAGGGGATGGGATGGGTATGTTTTTTAGGGAGTAGTCGAGGTTAAATTTTTCCATGTCCATACTGTGTTATAAATGTAGCGAAAGTGCTCTACTGTTTATCAGGAGCTGAGTACGAAGAAATATTGCGTCTAGCATGAAACAGACTGTCGTCTCTAAGAGTTGACTTCAATGTTCACTTTTATTTTTACACACGCTCTATCTCCAATATTGAGCACTTTATCCCATAAATATAGCACACCTTAAGACTATATTTCTTCATATATATATATATATATATATATATATATATATATATATATATATATATATATATATATATTTATATATGAAAATATATAGAAAATAGTTTTGAAACATGAGACCTCTTATGTCACGAGTTGGAATCATATTTTAAATAAATAATTATATATATATATATATATATATATATATATATATATATATTCTGGTTAAATGAAAGCATAAAATAATTATTTTATTAGGATTCTTATGGAAAATAAAATTTCTTGGAAAAATAAAATCTTTTGGGGGCTTCCGATAATAGGGGATCACTTCTCTCCCTTTGTTTGAAATTCTGGGCTGAGGAATTATCAATATTTAAAATATTTATATTCGGACTATTGCCGTCATCTTAGGTGTTTTTTTCGGCCGTCGGTCCTACCGGACTTCCTCGGCTGTATATCGATCAGAGTAAAACTACAGGGAATTCAGGACTGAACCCTTTATTTAATCTAGGGAGAGGGAAGTCTGTAATATTTCAATTGCTTATGTCTCGGGATATCAAGTACATATTTTTATTTAGTGCAGTTCATTTATTGTTCATCATTTTCTATTGAATGCAAGAACACACTTCCCAAACCAGGATTGAATTCACAAACACAATGTCAGCGAATTTACCACCCGTTAAACCATTATCTTGTGGAGGGCCTGAGAACACCACGGCCAAAACGTTTTAATAGAAACAAACAAAGGTGAGTAAAATCTGAATATACATATTGTATATAACTCTCATTTAACTTAATATTATTACAACGTGTCTCTCTTTACGACCCCTGGATTTCCTCAGGTTTCTGTCAATGTAAGTAAAATAGAGGTAATTGATTTATTTAATCAACACGAGTAGATTTATTTAATCATTTCACCAAAACAAGGCAATGAATCCACTAAGATGCAAGTGTTTACAGAGTGTAAGATATTATAACAAAAATAAAATGTTATCAAGGAGAAAGAATTATAAAAGAACAGGAATTAAGATATAAGATAACGATTGATATTATATTGCATTTAATTTTTTGAAGATCAAAGATGACAGGAAAGCATGATGTCGGTTGTATGTAGACATTTCAGTTGTAAAATGATGAGATCTATCCGCCAAACACAAAGATCGTCATAAAAATGACCATGAAAATATTAATAGAAAAGGAAGAGGTAAGCCCTCGAGAGATATCTCACCTTTTTCCTTTTAGCACAATATCTAGTTAGGGTTCGATATGTTACCACTAAGTTTCAGTATATACGATCCATCCTAAGGATTCCACTCACAATAATATGGGACCAAATTCAGTCACTAAGGAACGAAACAAGACGAGATACCGCTAAATACGAACAGTGGCACAAGGATAATATATTCCAGTACCTTAAATATATGGTAGCTTGTTCTAATTTAACAATCTCCCATCGTGGACTAAATAAACGGTTCGGTTCGAAATTCTAACAGATATCAACTGACAAAAGCCGTAGTGTACACTGGCCGAAACATCCTGTATATGAGAGTCAAGATCATTACAACAGTTAGAACAATGTAAATAGTTTAAATAGTTAAAATGCCTCATCTCAGAAATAAAGACTTATCCTGAAGAAGGTGTAGCGTACAACGTCCGAAACGTCGTGCATATGACAATACAGATGAGGACAACAGTCCGAACTATGTAAATAGTGTAAATAGTTGAAATACCTCATCTCAGAAATAAAGACTTATCCTGAAGATGGTGGAGCGTACAACGTCCGAAACGTCGTGAAAATGACAATAGAGATGAGGACAACATTCCGAACTATGTAAATAGTGTAAATAGTTATAATACCTCATCACAGAAATAAAGACTTATCCTGTAGAAGGTGGAGCGTACAACATCCGAAACGTCGTGAATATGACAATAGAGATGAGAACAACAGTCCGAAATATGTAAATAGTGTAAATAGTTACAACACGTCATCTCAGAAATATAGACTTCTCCTGAAGAAGGTGGAGCCTACAACGTCCGAAACGTCGTGAATATAACAATAGCGATGAGGACAACATTCCGAACTATGTAAATAGTGTAAATAGTTACAATACCTCATCTCAGAAATAAAAGACTTATCCTGAAGAAGGTGGAGCGTACAACGTCCGAAACATCGTGAATATGACAATAGAGATGAGGACAACACTCCGAACTATGTAAATAGTGTAAATAGTTACAATACCCCATCTCAGAAATATAGAGAGATGAAAAAGGGTTCAGTTCGAACTCTACACGGATTGAGAGACACCTTAAAATGGCCGGAGTATTAGAAGGTCAAAATGGGATAATAACAACAAAGATTAAGATATTAATCCGGATGTTAGTGATGGAAACAATCCTTTATAATTACAGATGTGGCTATATTATGTAAGAATAGTTGTTTCATCAAATTTATAATTAAGTCGATACTCAGTGAGTGTTTTTAAAATGGGTCTGTCTGTCAAATCGAATTACTTTGCGGCAGTGATTCACTCGTCGATGCCCCCCCCACCCCCGAGATTCTACAATTTTCTGCTCTTCAATTATAAGGTGAATCTTAACGATTACCCGCCATATCCTTGTAATTTCCAGTTCCTATTTCTTCATCTAAGTTTCATATCGTACACCTCGTTCAAGAACCCTCTATCTTGATTGGCATCCAGACTTTATATTCCATGAGGTTTAGTAAAAAAAAAAGATAGTACCACGTAACAGAATCATTCATTGTTTTTACATGATGTATATGGCTTAATCTCAGCGTAAGCTTATGCCTTATTCGTATATATATAACATTTGATCTCGAGTGATAACGAGATAATAGTTTTATTGGTAGGTGTAATTAAAAAAAGAAACTGCACTCCTAACATTAATTATCAATGCAATTACAAATATTTAAAATTAATTCTCGGTTTATTTTTACAAGAATAAGATTTTAAATAACGTAGCATAAAGTAAAACTTGCCAAAGGAAAATGTTTAAATGTAAATAAAATATCAATACACAAAAAACTACAATAAAATCTTGATTTACATAAGATATTCGGTTAATACGTAACCATTGCTGGTAAATTAATGTTTGAATAAGGATGACTTCTATTAATAAACATGTATAGAAAGATTAGTAAGACAAGGGTTTGTTAACTCGCCGGATTTTTTTTAACTTCTACAGCGAGATTATCTTAAATATATTAGAGAATATATACGGATATATTATTAGCGGACATAATCCTAATGTAGATCTCACTTTTCACAAATCACCATTTCGTTTTATTAGTTTCACATCCAATTAGTATAATTTAATTACTAATTATTCTATGTGAACCTCTTCACCAATGTCCATTGCTTTATACCTAAGATAACGCATATTGGACTTCACTCTTTACATACAAGTAGTATACATCTTTATGTATCATTATGGCATACAAGTAACAAACCTTTTTTAGCTCGTTTGGTGATGGGCTACAATATAGGGTATAGTTGATTAATTTTATTTAATCCACGGATGTAATTCGATTCTGCCTCCATTATAATTCATATGTTCTTTCTTCTGTTCATTCTGGTGCATGGCAATGAAGCACATCCGACTGCAAAGCCTCTGATCGAAATGTGGCTGTGGTTTCCAGTTCCCTTCTGACCCAGGAAAGGTAGCACCTGTTAGAGTACCAGATATGGAAAATACTGAACCCCCAAAACAAAAACAACATAATTAGAAAGTATAAAAATACAATATTATAGTAAAAATATCAGTAAAAAATTCTTATAAAAAAATAAATTACCAACAATACATTTTATAGTAAAATGACCAACAATAGATTTTATCCGTAGTTGAAGGTATACAGTTGTGTTCAAAATATTTAGATTTCGGCATTGAATAACCCATAGAGTTTGATATGTCGCTAAACAAAATCAACGAACGAAACAACCAATATAAGATAACTCTTTCATGACATTAATCAATATTTTATTCTATAATTTCTTAAAGAAATCAAACTGTATTCGAAAATATAACTTTAACAAAACTACAACATAAACACATGTCACTACCGCTAGTAATTATGTCAACACAAATAGGTATATGCACAAAAGCCGAGTATCATCTACCATGTATTCAATTGCGAAAGCAGAATAACATATATCATATTTTTATTACTTCAAATATTCCAAGAAAAATTAAATTTCGGCATTAACTGACCCATAAGTTGCTAATATACCGTTAAAAAAACAACCATTCATCGT